AAAAGAGAAAGGTGGTCTCTGCCTTCACCTGAGAAAGGGAGAAAAATCTGTAATTAATATCAGTATGCATAGAATCATAGAATGTTTACGGTTGGAAGAGACCTTAAGATTATCTAGTTCCAACCCACCTGCCATGGGCCGGGACACCTCGCACTAAACCATGTTGCCCGAGGCTCTGTCCAACCTGGCCTTGAGCACCACCAGGGATGGAGCATTCACAGCTTCCCTGGGCAACCCATTCCAGTGCCTCACCATCCTCATAGTAAAGAACTTCTTATATCTAATCTAAACTTCCCCTGTTTAAGTTTGAACCCATTACCCCTTGTCCTACCACTACAGTCCCTAACGAAGAGTGCCTCCCCAGCATCCTTATGGACCTCCTTCAGATACTGGAAGGCTGTTATGAGATCTCCATGCAGCCTTCTCTTCTCCAGGCTGAACAGCCTCAACTTTCTCAGCCTATCTTCATAAGGGAGGTGCTCCAGTCCTCTTATCATCCTCGTGGCCCTCCTCTGGACTTGCTCCAACAGCTCCATGTCCTTTTTATGTTGAGGACACCAGAACTGTACACAATACTCCAAGTGAGGTCTCACAAGAGCAGAGTAGAGGGGCCTCCTTTGACCTGATGGTCACACTTCTTTTGATGCAGCCCAGGATATGGTTGGTTTCTGGGCTGCAAGCGCACACTGAAGCCGGCTCATGTCAAGCTTCTCATCAACCAATACCCCCAAGTCCTTCTCCGCAGGGCTGCTTTGAATCTCTTCTCTGCCCAACCTGTAGCTGTGCCTGGGGTTGTGCCGACCCAGGTGTAGGACCTTGCACTTGGCTTCGTTAAACTTCATAAGGTTGGCACTGGCCCATCTCACAAGGTGACTTAGGCCCAGCTGATCCTGTTTGCCTGACATTACTTTTTATTTTTGTCTTCTCCCCTTGCTTTCCTTGTCAGGCTCTGTATTGTAATTCAGAATTTGACCTCTAGTGAAGTGGCAACATGAAAAATTAGAGATCTGCATTTTTTATCTTTTCTAGTCATCTTCTCCCTTTTACTATTTTTCTGTAAAGACAGTAAATGTTAAAGAGGCTATGTTGAATATTGATTTATGTATTGAAGTGTCTAATAGGTTTGTTCATGTGCATTTTCCAATTCAAATCACAGAAGTTACTCTGCTGACTAAACTGAAGCGTGGTGAGAAGAGCATTGAAGGAGTGTAAATTTAGAAAACTTTCACTGTAGAACAGGCATAGCTTATGATTAATGTGACATTTTTAAATTGCTAGTTAGTGGCATGCTTTTTCTTGGGCTTAATGAGTTAGTGGATTTGGTGAAGTAATATACTTATGAATGTTCCCTGAAGCTAAAATATTTTTTTAAGCACACAGAAAGCTTTTAGATGAAGTGTGCTGAAAAAAAATTTGTTTTTCAACCCTTCTGTTTTACCACTAGCACTGATGGAGCCCTTGGAGTAAGCATCAGTGCCCCAGGAGGTGCTATTGCTTCTGTTCCAAACTGGACTCTGCGAGGAACACAACTCATGAATGGTACATCCATGTCTTCTCCCAATGCATGTGGAGGCATTGCATTAGTATTGTCAGGTAATATGTTACAATGTTAAATAGAAATGCATAGTCTAAAAGAGATTAGATACTACTTTTCTCTTAAAAAAACAAAAAACAAAACTAAAAAAACCAAAACAACACTAACTTTCAAATTTCTGTTGTATCCAATAATACTCTTATTTTTAATTTCAGGTCTCAAAGCTAATGATATTCATTACACTGTTCATTCTGTCAGAAGAGCTTTAGAAAATACTGCAGTGAAAGCTGAAAACATAGAAGTATTTGCACAAGGACATGGTATTATTCAGGTACTTAATAGCAAAAACCCCAGCCTAATACAAATAACTGCCAGTGGAAAACTGGCTCTCAAAAACCCAGCTTTCTACATGAGCTCACTCAGTTTGCTCCCATGCTGCTTGATTTTCAGACCTGATGGAGAAGAAGGGAATGTAGTGGGAGGGGAGGAGGAATGAGACTGTTCTTTCAATTTCAGCATGAAGTTGCTGTAGAATAAATGTGTTAACTAGGCACATTCTTAGATTGATCAAAAAGGTATGTGGGCATAAAAGTGGGATGTGGGTTTGTATCGCCCACATGTGGATTTGGATGCCTAAATTCTGTCCTGATGTCTAAAAATGTTCTTATGCTATTGTCAGAGAGAGCTGAACTCATTCTGTGCAGACAAAAGCTGGAACTGTAAGTTCTGGGCAGTGAAAATAAAGATACCCACACTGGTTCGCAAAGCAATACAGCTGCAGTTGTGCAACAACGTTCCTCCAGACCTGGCACTGAAAAGCCTGAGTGTTCGTTGTATCTTGTGGACAAGGAGCTTGGAAATTTGTGATGTGATTCTTTGTATGATAATAGTGAATGACTATCTCCTGCATAATGTATGACAGTCTCTCTATGCATAAACTTAGGTTTTTAAAGAGCTGCTGGTCAAATAAAGGTACTGAGATTTTTCTCTCATGCTTAAAAATGCTAGACATTATATGCTTAGCCCTAAACTCACGTTCTGGAGATGCTAGAACCTAGTAAGTAACAGCTGCTAAGCACATCTGTAACACTGAGTTTGATACAGAAGGCCACAGAAAAATGAAATGCACCGGTCATATCTTACAATTTAGTAGTCTGTGATTAAAGCATGTGTTAAAATGTGGTTAGAACTCATCTGGGAAACCAAGGCTGTCTACATGTCTCAAAGGAGAGTGCCCTTATTTCCACTGGTGAGCATAGCTCACTGTGAAGTAGAAGAGAATGTAAGAGTTTGGAGTCAGTAGACTAGAAAGTGAGATAGAAGGGTATCTTTTTAAAACAAAAAGATGGGCTTGTCATCTGTGTTTACTCTGACTGCTCATTTACTGAAATCCAGGGTTGGATTTCATGACATGATTATCTTGCATTAGTATATAAAAATTACATGGGCATCCCATATTGCTTGTCTCTTTTGAACTGCTCAACTTCTTATATAGTATAAAAGGTTTAAATGCTTAAGTGTTTTTCAGCATATGAGAAAGACACCTAAGTTAGTATAGTAGGTCTGGGCCTTTGATGTAATCTCTGAAAACTTCATTATGCATCTTTTAATGGATTTGTAGCAAAGGGGATTTGGGGTTTTTTTTGTTTTTTTTTTCTTTAATATTCCTGACTTTCTGCACTCTCAATGGCTGTTGCAGACTGAAAGTGTTGCCTTATTTTCTATACTGAGTATCATGTAAGGTGCAATCTGTCACTCAGGTAGCATGTCAGTTACTTCACTGTTTGTTGCTGTGATTGCTGAAAATGTCATAAATTATGATTAAGCTGAAGTTTGTTAATTTAGAATGTGTTCTTTCTAACAGGTTGATAAAGCCTATGACTACCTCATTCAGAACTCATCATTCACAAGTAACATAGGCTTTACAGTTACTGTTGGCAGCAACCGTGGAATCTACCTCAGAGATCCTGCCCAGATAGCTGCACCTTCTGATCATGGGGTTGGCATAGAACCTGTCTTTCCTGAGAATACGGGTAAGAAAGAGCTTTTGTATGTGGGGTGGGGAAGAAAGTGCCCTGCTTTATTAAATACAAATTAGAACTCGGAGAATGACCTATGTGTGGCATGGTGATCTTTAAACAAAAAGCTGTGATAATGAGGAGTGATAGGAATCTGTATTGTAGAAGGAGTAAGTGCAGCTCTAAATTTTATTGTAAATGATGGCATGCAGCTAAACAAGTTTCCTTTCTAACCTCAGAGTTACAGCTGCAGCACCTCCATGTTTTGCTGCTTCATGCTTCTTCTCACTGGAAAGAGGGATATCTCTTTCTTTTGAAGAACATATGAACTGGGTAAAGCTAAATTGTGCAAATGTAAGGTTTAATGTGTTTTATCCATTAACCATTTTGCCCTGCTTTATTGAATACAAATTAAAACTCACTGAGAGATTGAATTACATTGTATTCAAAAACTGATCTATATGAGATCTTGTTACTGAGATTAATTCCTTTCCTAAAGCCAGTGGTGCCCAAGAAGGTTAGCATGTGACAAAGGGGTGAGTTTATTTAGGGGAAGGAAGGGTATGAATCAGGACAGGTTACTGACTCAGAGTAACTCAATTTGACAGGGTATATTGAAATCAGTGTTTTTAAATTTACTCTATGACATGGAGAAATAAAGTACTACTTGAGTACGCCCTTCCACTGGAAGCAAACAATCTGAAAACATAGACATTTGTAATGGATGACTGCCTTGTCATGCCTAGCATCATGTTTTTTCCCTAGTACCTCTCCAACTGTTACTTCTGTTCTGTCTGGTGTCTTCCACAAGACTGAGTTAGGGAAACTGTAGTATGAGGTTAAGGGAGGCTGATCTGCTCAGTCTGTCTGTTAGAAGTTCTCTGAGCTTTTATTGCTTTTCATTTACCAATGAGGGAATTGGATCTGATAAGAGAGTGCTCTTTACTTAACAAAGATGTAATGAAATGTCTTAAAATTAATCTAAGGTTAATTAGGACTAGGAATGTGAAAAAAATTTCAAAGTGTCACTAACCTTTAGAGCAGGAGAAAGCTGTTTTTAATTACTAAAACATTACAGCTAGGGTTGGATGTCTGTCTGGAAGCTGTGCTTTAACCCATAGCTTTTTTGACATGAAAGCTCATTTGCAAAATCAGCTAAATTGACTGTTTGCAGAGTCAGACTAGCTTACCATGGTAATTTTAAACAGGCTTTACCTTTTGCTTAGGTTGCTCTATAATGTAATTTGGTAATTAGCATAACCTTTGGAGTCAGTGCAATTGCTTTTTATTGTATGTCTCTGCATTAGGCAAGACTTTTTATATACACAAGAGTTTATACCTGTTTCCAGACTATGTTGTGGGTAACTGAAGCATTGCTTACTAGCCTATCTTTAACTTCTGTCAGGTTTGACTGTTTCGGAGAGGGGGTGTGGTGGAGGGTGGGGTGGGAGAGATTTCAAAGTTGGGTACAACTTTTATTTTATTGTACACTACAGCTATTCTATTTTTCTTAAGAGAAATAATACAGAACACTTCAATGGCATATACTGCGTTATAGTAGAAAATGTGCATTTGTGTTATTGAACTGTCTTTTAAAAATTTTGTGTCTTGACAGAAAACACTGAAAGAATATCTCTTCAGCTTCATTTAGCTTTAACTTCAAATGCATCATGGGTCCAGTGTCCTAGTCATTTAGAGCTTATGAACCAGTGTCGACATATAAATATTCGTGTGGATCCACGTGGCCTGAGAGAAGGACTACATTATACAGAGGTATTGAAGTATTGGTGTTCTAAGCAAGATTGTGTGCCCTTTCCTTTTCAGGTGGTCTCTATCAACTTTTTATAGAAGTAATTTTTAAGGAAATAAAAGGTGTGTGCTGTAAAGACCAGAAAATAATGCCACACTCTATTCCACTATACCGGCTCATTCCAGGGCTCAGCAATAGTTATGCTATAGAGTGTTGTGTATAGCTCATGCCAATGAGACTTTGAGAATCTGTGTTTAAAAACTAAAATCATATAGAAAATATAAACCAAATAAATAAACATTAAGTTTTACCTTTGACTATCTGGCTCAGTCCTGTATTATTATTTCTTCAATAATTTGTGGGTTTATGTGTTTGAGGTCTTAAATACTTCTCTCTTTCTGTGGTGGCTTAAGGACTGGCCTAGCTTTTGTTGTGTTGCCATGCAGTCTTATGTGGACCCAGGATTTTGCTTTACCTTGAGGAGTTGCTTGGATACAGTGATGCAACATATTTTCTTGTTTCCTTATGTCTACCACATCCCATTTTGGAAAGTGAAGGAGAAAAATGCGTGGTAATGGCTGTGTACAGCAGAAGCGTTTCACTGACTTCAAGCATCTACATTCAAATTTGGAAAAAATTAATACAAAAGCCATTAAATTTCTCATTTTCACTTCCCTAACATCCTGTTTCACGCCTGCAAAAGAAACCCACCGATAAAAACTACTTTCAACCCCTTCCATCCTCATCCCAAACCTTATATTAACATTGAAATGTTTCCATTGCTTTGTAGTTGATCATAATGAAGATATCAGCAGCTTGCTTTTTAAAAGTGACTTGCTTAAGATGCTTGAAGTTGCAAGTCTCCTATGGTATCACTGAGAACATTTTAGCCAAGTGATGGTGGAGCAGGTTTTCAGAGATAGTATTTAAAGCTTGGCCATGAAAGGCATGGTAAATCAAACTGTATTTTCTCAAACATAATCCTGGAAGACAAGCATTAAAATATTTTTAATACAACAACAACGTAACTGAAATAAAATAAAGCTGTTTGGGACAAACTCTGATTTGAAACTAGGTTGAACTTTTGATATAGAGACTCTCAAATGTGAGTTGAATGCTTGAAAACTTATGGGGAAAGACTGAAATGAGTCTAAGTATGAAAATTAATTTTTTTTCTTGGTAAGTGATGCTGTTTTACTGTTTATAGGGTGGCAGCAGTCAAATGAGGATCTTTCTTTCTCAGTGGTAACAACAAAGATTCAAAATGCTCTGCAACTAGTTCTGTGTTTAATGTTATCTTCTATAATTTCATTTGACCAAAGATTTTAAGTGGTTGTATTTTATTTTGTTAGGTGTGTGGATATGATATAGCAATGCCAAGTGCAGGCCCTCTCTTCAGAGTTCCAATAACTGTTGTTATACCAACAAGGTAAGTAAGCCCAGCCTTATCTGCATTTTTAAAGTTTTGTTTAGTTTTCTGTACCCACTTGACTTGTCATTTATTTCACCACTTTCTTTCTGTAGGAGTTCTTGAACTTAGTACTAACATTGATAAGGTAACAGAGTTCTGAAAAGATTCTCTGGGCAGACTTGTGCAGCAGTGGCTCTTTTGCAGTTGTGGTCCTGGCAGGCAGAAGCCAGTGTGTTCCAGTGGGCTTAGCCACAGTGCCAGCAGCTTCCTGGTCCATCAGAATACAGATGAATTTTGGCCTGTTGACCAAAGTATCAATATACTCATAGGTGTAGGTGTCATGGTTTAAGCCCAGCCAGTAACTCAGGGCCACGCAGCTGCTCGCTTACTCCCCAAACTGGAGTTGGGGTGGTTTTTTCTGGTTGGTTGGTTGGTGGAGTTTTGTTGTTGTTGTTGTCTTTTGTTTCGGAGTGGTGGAATAGACTACATAAAGGTGAGGGCATTATTTGGCATGTGAACACTGGGATAAGCTTCCATGATGACTTCGATGCAGCGATTTTAGAGTTAGTATTGTACCTATCATTGGTTTGAACATACAACTTTAGCGATGTTGATAAGGAAAGAGAATATTTTATTAAATCTCTTCATCGGACAATCTGTCCTGAGGAAAAAAACCCTCAAACTTTTCTCTAACTCACTCTCAGAAATATTACTTCTTATGTACCTTATGTCACTTTAGTGGAAAGTCACTCAGCCAGGAAAAGCAGATCCACTGAAAACTAGGATCCTTTGATAACTTACATTTAAGCACAGTAACTTCAGGGAGGTAGGGAGGATGTCTAATAATGTGCTGGAGCTGATATTTTAAATCCTTTAGACACATTATGCTGTCAGATTATGTACTAGTACAGGCTAAAAGAATTGGTGCTGAGGGCCAAATCTCCTCATTGTACACATATTTTTTAGAGTATTTTTGCATTTAAAAACGCTTTTAAAAAAACGTATTGTTTGGTTACTGTTTGTTCTCTTTTTGACATACAGAGTAGATGAATCATCAAGCTATGACCTGACATATACAGATGTTCATTTTAAACCTGGTCAAATCCGAAGGCACTTCATTGATGTTCCACAGGGAGCTACGTGGGCTGGTAAGAAAAATAACCACATTAATTAAATTTAAAAATCACATCTGTCAGACTTGACAGAGTTGTTTGGAAATAATTTTCAGTTCTACCTGAATAAGAACTGAAGCATTTGATCCATGAATATGTAAAATATTTATTTGATTTTAAGCTCTTAGAGGAGTGATTTTGAGTTATCTCATGGTTTCTGGTATAGTAGAATCATGATTCTCAGTCTTCTAGAAACCAGCAAATACAATCTGAAATGATAGGGGAGTACCCTATGTTTAAGGAGAACTGTCTGAGATTTGCCTCGTTTTTAAGCTGTATGGTTGTAGTGTTGAAAGATTTCTTAAATGTGATTTTCATTATGGGCAAGTAGCTCGTAATTCTGCAAGAAGGGGAAAAAGGGTTTATTTTATTGTGTTCCTGTGTGAGATTTCTAAATAATAATCCTTCCAAGAATCTGTCATTTAGCTTGAGGTTAGTAGTAAGACTTAATTTAGAATTCAGCAACAGTCTGTCCTGTACAGGTTGTATTTCTGTACTATCTGATTAATTTTCATTGTTTAGTTCAGTCATGTTTCTCTTAACTGGCCTCTGAATTTAGCTAATTTTCCTTAGTCTGAAAGGGTCTTTGTAAATAACTGTTATATAAGCATTATTCACATATGGAGCCACTGTGGGTATTGCGTAAAGCTTTAGATTACAAATTACTTGTGAAACAAGTGTTTTTCTGGTGAATCTCTGCTTTCCTTCTAAAATCCTTGGCTCTTGAAACTAAACTCAATTTTTTTCTTTAATTTAGAAGTGACAGTATGCTCATGTTCAGCTGATGTGACTGCCAAGTTTGTGCTTCATGCCGTTCAGCTAGTGAAACAAAAAGCATATAGAAGTCATGAGTTCTACAAATTTTCATCCTTACCAGAAAAAGGATCAGTGACTGAAGCATTTCCTGTCTTAGTAAGTTACCTTTAGGGTGGCATGGGGGAAGAGAGAAAAAGTAGTATTTCAGTGCATTATAACATAACTTATTCTGGCTTTATTGGGAAAGAACCCAAACCCAAGAAATCATACATTTGTTACAGTAGTGAATGCATCTGGTTTTCAGTTTCTAAAATATCCCCAATAGCTTGCTAGTGTTTTTTATTTATTTGGGAATGCCCATAGAATACGTGTTGCTCTTTTCAATTTGTCAGTACTTGTTTATACAAACCAGTGAGTTACCCTTTCAAATAGGGGCTATGACTTGTTGGATAGCTGTGTTGCAGGTTATCTTAAGTTTTACTGAATTTTTCTGTATTTTGTTTGTTTGTGAAAGTTATCTATAGGAATATCTTGATTTAAGAAGTTAGCCTTTATGTTAGCATGGGTTGCTGTGCTACGTGAAATCTGATGCTGTGTCGCTTGAAGTCCCTGTTCTGTGTAACATGTTGGCCTTAGTCCTTACTCTCTAGACCATAACCAAAGTACCTAGGGCCTATTGTATGTAGGATGAGTTATTTGACAACCTGGCAAGGTAGAAATCTAGCCAGCCAACCTGGCTACACAACTTACTTTTAAGGTGTCCTGAAGTAAACTGCCTTCTTTATAATACTTAAAAAACACACCCACAGATCTAGAAGACCCTTGCCCAGATGAAGACCCTTCCCCTGTGCAAGCGTAGTAACAGAAAAGAATGACATAGCAGATATAATTATGTGCAAATCACTAACCAGTCATTGTATCTGGGAGCTACTACCTTGTCATTTTTGTGTATAAATGTAACAACGAAATTGGCGTAAGATGTGCTTCATTTGTGGAAATTCCACCTAGCACCCAGTGCTGCAGTAAAGAAGTGCCTGCTTCTTAATGCTATATTGATATTAAGGAGTTTTATTCTCCCAAGTTTCGGTGGCAGCTGTAGTTCAGCATGTTTTGCCATTACTGCTGAATGTGGTAATCTGGGACATCTTGATGTTGAAGCCAGGCGATAACTGGCTGGCTTGCATTCATACTGCTTAGATACAACAGGCTTAGCTCAATGCTAGCTCAAGAGTCCAAAATGGAACCAGGGGCTGAGTTAAGAGTTCAGGGGTGTGGATGACAGAGCCCACTTCTTGAGTTTGTTCCCTGCCTTACTTAATTTAGTTGTATAGCTCTAAAGTCTAAGAGTGGTTATGATTTCCGTGCTATTCACTCCCTCACCCTCTGTGAAAATGCCAGGTGGGGAACCTAAGCTAGATTCGTCCCACTGACACTCTATGAATTCTGTCATGTTGATTAAAAAAACAAAACCAAACTACAGCAACAAAAACCCAACCACTAAACCACAACCAAAAAACCCTCCCAATCTTCGTGTCATCTTACTGAGGCAGAGAGTGGGATCTCTTTTTCTGATACACGTTTTCTAGGGCACATAGGTGTTAAACTCATCAGCGAACTAACCTGTCTGGCTAGTTTGAAGGATAGGAAAGAAAGATGTAATATTTAAAAGCTCTGTAAGAATATACCCCGACACTCTTTGCTTTGATGTGGATATCAGGCATCATATTTTGTTGGAGCTATCTTATATTTTCTGCATGTGTTTTATTTGGTACTGTACAAACATATACAATTGGCGTAAAGTGGATGTAACAGCATGGTTTTTGAGCTAGACTCAAAATTTTGCCTTGGGTTGAGGGAGTCTGGGGTGAATAGAAGTGAAAGATGGAAGCTTGAGTCTAACTTTGTGCTTTTGTTGCCCAGGCTGGCAAAACCATTGAATTTTGTGTTGCTCGGTGGTGGGCAAGCCTTAGTGATGTCAGCATTAATTACACAATTTCTTTCCATGGTGTACTTTGTGCTACTCCTCAGCTAAACATGGTAAGTTTTCCAGAGTGTTTATTTTGAGTTATGCTGAAGTCCTATGGTATCTCAGAATAAAAGCAGCTTTGCTTCATTCTTGCCTGTAGCTAGAAAGACTAAAAGTATCTTTATACATGAGATTTTCACCTTTTTTCTTAAAAACAAGTTAATAGGAGTTTGGTCCCACAGAATGGAAGGGCAGTGTTGTGATTCCTATGGCTCTGTGATACTGAAGGATTGAAAAAGTTGCTAAAAACATTAGTATCATAATGTTTACAGTACTTTTGTCTTTCTCCTGTGTTCTTTGCTGTCCTATGCAACAGGGCTTGGCTTCACTTTGTCTCAAAGAGGGCTTTCTTTGAGAGCTAAGATGGCAATACCTATGTGAGGCAGCATCATGCTAATTTATACTGGCTTCTCCCTTTTTTTTTTTTTTTTCCCCAACTACGGAATGGAGCAAGTTATAGCTGTCCCACGGGTGAATTTGGATGTATTCAGGCTCTAAGAGCTGAATAAACTGAGGGAAAAAAAAGTGGGTGCATTGTGTTAAGGTACCAGGTCTTAAATCTGTAGAGCAGCAAAATAAGGAGCTTGTGGTGGTGCACAGCAGCTCCCACCACCACAGCAGGATTACATTGACTGAATAATGGAGAGTTGAACATGAGAGAATACAGTAGTTTTGCCCTTTCTTCTTGAGCATGTGTAACTTTCATAAAATAAATTTTAGTAGTGCTGATATACTGGTCAGTTTGTCATAGAATACTGGCAGAAAAAAGTTCTCAAATTATTTGGCCCATCACTAGCCTGTGTATGGTGGTAATGTTTCTTTTTCACGAAGTTAAACTACTCTGTAATAATAATCCTAAGCAGAGGCACCATAAAATATTTGTTATAAGATTCTAGATGTATAATACTTGTATTTATCAAATATTCATAGAATCATAGAATAGTTAGGGTTGGAAAGGACCTTAAGATCATCTAGTTCCAACCCCCCTGCCATGAGCAGAGACACCACACACTAAACTATGTCGCCCAAGGCTCTGTCCAGCCTGGCCTTGAACACCTCCAGGGTTGGAGCATTCACAACTTCCTTGGGCAACCTATTCCAGTGCCTCACCACCCTCACTGTGAAGAACTTCTTCTTTGTATCTAACCTAAACTTCTCCTGTTTAAGTTTAAAGCCATAAATAAGGCTTCTGCTCCAGTTGCTAAAGTTTTCCAAGTCTCAGTAGATCTACTGTTGTAAAATGTAGGTAAGCTTGTGACATTTTCAAACTTGTGCACTATTACATGCTATAGTATAGTTAAATACAGCTTGCATTGCATTTTTCATGGTACACATCTGATGTTATAAGTTCACAGAAGCCTAATTGTTACATACTCTTTCTTTAGCATGCTTCAGAAGGCATTGTACGATTTGATGTTCAGTCTCTGTTGAAGTATGAAGATATTGCTCCATGCATAAATCTGAAAAGCTGGGTTCAAACACTCAGGTAGAGTTTCTGGGGAACTGTGTTTGGAAAGTGGGAAGACTCTTTGTATGTACTTTAAACAGCAACAAGTTAACAGTGAAATTTATGATAACAACAGTCAAATTTTAAGTAAGTTTGGAAGCATCACTTAATAAAATTCCTCACATTCTCTTTTTTGGTTCCTTCTAACTTCAATAAAATTTGAGCATTATAGTGACTTTTTCCATGCAAATTATTTTCCTTTAGCTAATTAAAAGGGGGGAGGGGGGCAAAAATATTCCATTACTTCTGAAGGAGACACTTAGATGTAAAAAGCACTTTGATACCTAAAGAAACAAATTGTAGGGTTATTTGGTGCTGCTACTTGTTTTGTGGGGCTTTTTAAGCAGCTGCTTCATATCCTGCCCAATTTTGACCTGGGAGGACTGTCTTCTTTCTCGTGCTTGCTTGAAGTGTTTTTGTAGGATCTGGTGCAGAATTTTTTGGGGAAAGTTGTGTTTATCTTATCAGTTTGACACATGCAGATTTGGAGGAAAAACTTTGGAAAATTCTTAACCAGTGCAGTGCTTACTAAAGTTGGTCACTTCAGGAGGAAGAAGAAATGCCATACAGTTTAAGCAGTACTTTTAAGACTTGGGCCAGACAGTCTTATAGTGGTCAGTAATCCAAACTTTTCCATTATTGGGACCTCTCAGTGGAGACTTCAGGCTCTGTCTGGGGCTTTTGGATACTTGTAAATGGAAGTGAGGGAGCTGGGAGTTAGCCACCTAATGTTAGGTTCAGAAATTGCTGATTTGATATGCCTTAAGGGAGGAAATATCTTTGCCTCATTCTTGGCTTGTAAAATGGAAATGCTCTTGTCTCCTTGTAATATTTGAGGCACTCATCTGACAGTAAACAAACTACAGTTAAATAAACTAATGAGAAATATTTGCTTAAATTAAGGCATGAATATTATCTCTTGAATGAACTAATGAGTCATAACAGAGTTAAAAAAGTACTGAATGGCTTCTCATTCACTCTCTTGGCTTTCAAATGCTTGGAGACAGGGTGAATATTAGGGATTCACATGTCAGGTGTGGTCATGTCGGTTCTTAACTCTTCTGTCAAGCAGTCTATCTGGTGAGTGCCAGACTAGGAAACCTGGGTTAAATTGACCTGTGATATGACCCAGCAGAGATATTTTAGTGGGTGACTAGTCTGTGCTCTTGGCAATGAAAGAGCTCAGTGAATCTTACAGAAGATGCCATTAAAGGTTGTCTTGAATGAATGAAATGCTAACTTAAATGATACCAGGGCACACTCATTCCACTACTCTTTATTTCTGGAGCCCTAATTTTCCTGTATCATTATTATTTACTCTATATTCTTTGATGCTTAAGATCTAACGTGTGCTGCTCTGAACAGTAGTTTGTGCTGTGTCTGAGTTAACGTATGTTATCATACACAGGTAGTGTATGTTAACATTCTCCTGTGTTACTACTCTGATTTCTGTAAGGCCTTTTACAGACTTACAGATTCCTTTCTGACATAACCTTCTGTAACAAACAATTATCAACTATTTATTCTGTCTTCTAATTACTTTGCCTTTAATTTTTCACTTTATGAATAAACAAATCTGAAGTCTGGGGGTTTTTTTGTTTGTTTTTTAATGGATTTAATTCTTTTAATTTTTTGGATTAGGTGTGCTTGCTTAGTTCTATTGGCTTCTTTCTGTAATGTTACTAAACCTTGGTTTTGTATGGACAGTCATTTTAACTGATGAATTTATGCTACCTGGACAGTTACAATTTTTTTAAGAGATATTATTGTATGGGCTGAATTCAGTTGTACTTCAGAATATGCTTCTACTTAAGTAAGACAAATTTTGATAGAGGATGCATGTTTCTTAAGAGTGCCATCTGTTCTTTGTTGTTTATCTGCAGACCAGTGAGTGCAAAAATAAAACCTTTGGGCTCCAGAGATATTTTGCCAAATAATCGACAACTATATGAGATGATTTTGACCTATAACTTCCATCAGGTAAGGGTTATAGATGGTTGGGGTTTTTTTTAAAAAAGCCATTAATAAATATAGCATATATTCTAAAACCAGTAAACTTTAACTAGCTTTCTGTCAGAAACAAGGTCTAGATTCTTGCTGTAGGCTCTCTACAGTCAAAATTCTGATTTGGTTCTTTTTAGGAGCTACTATTGCTTGAAGTGGGTTTAATTTCAGGTATCCCTTTGAATACGTGTTTAAGGATTGCACTTGTTTTATTCAATAGTGAATTAAATGCTTTGACCTTTCTTTTAATAGCCTAAGAGTGGAGAAGTAACTCCAAGCTGTCCGCTTCTTTGTGAATTGTTGTACGAATCTGAATTTGATAGTCAACTGTGGATTATTTTTGACCAGAACAAAAGACAGATGGGTTCAGGAGATGCCTATCCACACCAGGTACAGAACAATGTATTTATTTTACCTTCTGTTTTTTTCACTTTGTGAAAATCTTCGTTCTTTTTCACCTTCTAGGCCTGCTGTTGGCTCCTAACATTTCCTGATGCATAGATATAGTGTACTTATATCTTCACAAGAAGACAGGTTCAGTGGTGATGTATTTGTATGGAAAAAAAAAAAAAATGACAGGTTTCCTTCCATGAAATAGAACATTTTGATAATTTTTTCCCTCTTCCAAGGAAGGAGAAAGAGTGATGGTGTGTTTTATTCTACAAAAAGCTGTTAATTTGTGGTATCTTGTGATTTTTTGACTGCTGCTTCTCAAGGAGTGAATTCAGGTTCTGGTTTTCTTTATCATCTTTGTATTAAAACCAACATATCTTGAACTTTTCTATTTAAGGTGGAAAGGATCCATTTTTTTTTCTGTAGTCTGACTTGTCTGCTGATCAGAGGCTTCTATATCCATGAAGGCTGTCTTCTGTGCTTTTGATATCCTCAAACAGCTTTTAAATGCTATAGCTTGGTTTACTTCTTGTTGCTGCCTTTCAGAGGGATTTTTTTGCACAAGCCTTGTAGACACTGTACCCTCAGTGGCAATCTTTCTGCTAGAACAGACTATGTTTCTGCATCATTCAGGGAGGGGAATAAAAAAAGGAAGGCAAAAAAAGAGAGAAATATTTCCTCTAGTTTTTTTATTTGAAACTATTTCGTACCAATCCAAAATCACAGCTGAACTTCATCAATGTAATGTTTATTTTGATAGATTTATCATTCTGGAAGTGTACAGGTGATCAGCTTTAAAGCATGTCTTTTGAATCTTGTAAATCAATTTCAGAAATTGCATTACTTAAACTTCTGTTCCTTAGCCTGCGTTTTTTAAGCTGTTACAAAATCTAAAAATCACCAAAGTAATCTGTTACACCTGGTGGACCACCACACTGTATATCTCTGATGTTGTGCATCATGGAAAATTCTAAAGCAATTAAAAATTAACTATCCAGGAAGAAATGCCAACTGAATCCCTAACCCAGGAGAGTGAGGTTCTGGGAGCAGGGTAGTTCTGAGCTATTGTCCCTTTCTGCTTGGGGCTGCCTTTTGCATTATAGCAGCAGCAGAAAGGAAGGTTAGAATGCTACTGCTCGAAACATCCACATGGTGCCCTTTTAGGTTGATAGAAGTGAAAGAATGTTTTCAAAACTAAGAATTTGAGAGTCTGGGTTTAGGTGGGGCAGCATTTGTGGGTTTTGCTTTTGGTGGTCGTGTTTGTTTTATATAAATGGAGATGATGTTATCTGCATATATAAAAAGCTCAGGGCAAGGAGTCTGTCAGCTCTTCAAACTGCAGCCTTGAATCTCACAGCATTCTTGGGTCCCTCAGTGTGAAGGCTGGTCCAGTGTTTGAGATAGTAGAAGATACTCTGTGATCTAAACCACAGAGCACCCAAAGTTATGTAGTAAACAAAGTGTATCAAGGCAAACCTGCCAGAGGTATTGAACTGAAATAATAAGACTACTGATTATTATTTGAACAGTTAGTAGTGTTATAATAGGAACAAATTATGTCAGCCTGTTTTGTGGTCTGAAAGTCTATACAAATTTTTTAGCCAATACAAAATGTGTTTTGGCTGCTATCAAGTCTTGTAAACACTCTGTTTTCAGGAGAGACCCAAAACTAAACAGTCTAGTGTATTTTAAAAGGCTACAGCTGTATGGATCAAGAATAATATATGACAGTCTTATTTCTGGATTTCTTTGTGAATGGTGAGGTATTTAAACTTGACATTTATGAGAACTTCTTTCTTTCAGTATTCTGTGAAACTGGAAAAAGGAGATTACACTATTCGGTTACAAATCCGTCATGAACAGAACAGTGAGCTGGATCGCATCAAAGACCTTCCATTTATTGTTTCTCACAGGTTGTCTAGTACCTTGAGCTTAGATATTTATGAAAACCATAGCCTTGCTCTCTTAGGGAAGAAGAAATCCAACAGTTTGACATTACCACCAAAACACAGTCAGCCATTCTTTGTTACATCTCTGCCTGATGACAAGTAAGTTACTGAAATCCTGATTTTCTCATCTACATCTAACCAGCTGCCTCTGCACCTAACTAAAACGATACTTTGATTGTGTCTACCTGTTTAGGCTTGGTATTTCCTCTTGTGTTGCTCTTTCACTGTTCGAGTTCTTTATTGTAATCCCCATGGAACATTAGTGAACCTGGTTTTAACAGTGAACTTTCTTTCTTTGAATAGAATACCTAAAGGAGCAGGACCAGGATGTTATCTTGCAGGAGCTCTTACACTGTCTAAAACAGAACTTGGAAAGAAAGCTGTGAGTATTTGAAATGGATGACAGCTGCTTTTTCTGAAGTTTTGGAAGCAAGTAAATTGCATGCCAGGAAGTGCTTATTTCATTATTTTAGTGCATTACAGCACTAGGTTTATTAATATAACACATTCTGGAAGCAGTTGTTTCATCATAAGGTCAGAGTAACTTCTAAGTAAGTCTATTTCTATTTTTGTCTTACAATTTCAAACTTAATAATTTTCAAATTCTAATTCTTTCCCTCTGAATCCTTCAGTTTCTAGAAACAACTGCTTTTTTTTATTGGTGTGGAGCCTTTAAAAGTGATTTTGTGTAATTGCCTAGTTTAGTATAATTTTTGTAATGAAAAAAACATGCATAAACAATTTTGTGCATGTTGGTTCTCTAGTAAACAGCTTTACTCTTCCTTGCATGCATACAATTTTCAGCAAACAAATGTGCATTCTTTACACCTACATGTTACTGTTAAAAAGTAGTAGGAATTTTGCCATTCTAAATGCATAAACAGATATTCTTACCTGCTGCACACTGATGTTGTCAACCACTAATATGGCTGTATGCTCTATGAGAATGATGTAAGATCTCTGTATGTGATGCTTGAAAAAAGCTGTAGGATTTTTTGGTCATTAATGCAGCATCCTGTAGAAACTGCTTTCTAACTTGTATGAATCTGTAGTGCAACAGTGGTTATAATAACCAGATCACTTTTGTGTGTATCTGGTGCTAAAGTATTTAGAAGATTCCTTTAGTTATTTTAAAATAGATTGCAAAGCCGAGAATGATTTTCAATCAGTCCTGGTGATTGTTACTAGTTAGAGATAGTCCATGTATCACTAGATGTGGCTGAAGAACATGTATAAAACTAGAATATGTTTTCATAGAGAGTAAGTTTCTGTGAGCAGATGGACACATACCTTTAGATAATGAGTAGAAAAGCTTAGTTCAGTCTGATTTGGTTGTATGTAGTACTTCTGAGGCAGTTGCATGTAAATGTAGATTAGATAATGTCTGTCAGGACAGCTTATGTATCAATGAGGAAAAACCCAGTAACTAAGAACTCTAAAATACTTAGTTTTATATTTCTTTGTGATTCATGCAAGGTTGGAAGTAAAATTCTGTGAAATCCATGGTAAATTCATTACAGTAGTGTAATGAATTTAGAGTATATTTTCCCTAACTTGAATTCTGCGCTTATTTGAACTATTGGTTGTAATTCTTATATATCTTACTATAAAACTGGACTAAGTAGTTATATACCATGATTTCTGGGATGGGGGAAGTAGGAGATAGGTAGGTATTTTCTGTCATTTCATGTGATGAAAATACTTAAGAGCTTACACAGACAGAAGCTCTAGCTGAATTATGTCATAGTCTAAAGTATTACTGTTAGGTCATATTTCACTGGAAAAAAGGATGTTACCAAATAGCATCAGATACTTTATACTGCCTTTAGTGAACCTCAGCATGTACCAGGAGACAAAAAAGAAGGACTAGACAGCAAAGTTGTCTCTTAAGTCAGTAAGTGGATGCAATGTGAGGGGAAAATGTATATATACTTTCTGTATATTTATATGAAATAGAACAATACCACTAAACAGTCAATTTCTGCACTTTTGAATTTCTGAGATTCTTAATTTAAGCTAAGTGGTTAACAACACTTGCTTGTCTTACAGGAATAAAGGACTGTATAAACAATGATGCATTGGTTTATTAATATAAAAAACATGAAAGAGCATGCTTAAGAGCATGTTTGATCATAGATGTGACTCTCTAAAAGTTTAAAAATCTGTAGGTTGAAACTATAACCGTATTTGTACAGAGAAGGTGTCTCCATCCTGTGTGGTGTGTGCATGTTTTCTTACAGTATGTTATTCTAACTCCCAGGGGCAGTCTGCAGCAAAGCGACAAGGAAAATTTAAAAAGGTACTGAATGTTAGTTTTTGAAAAAGATATACTTAAGTCTTTTTTGCATATGACTCACAGAATTTGTCTACCAGTATTGGTTTTTTAATTTGTCTCCCTCATTACTTCCTTGGTCCTGAGTTATTTACGTCAGCACCTTAAGTATGTCTACTGGTAGAATGACAAAACACTATTGTAACACAAAGCTGAGAGGCACATGAGCATCTGGATGCTTCTGCAATAAGTGCTGTAAAAATGCATGTGGTAATTAGTGGTCTGTAATTTTTCTTTTTATGAAACACTTTGAAATCTTCAATGTGTAGTGTCAAGATTTTCTGTGGCAAGTGTTTCTACCTGTTCTATTCTGCCTGCAAATTGAGAACTGAATACAAACCTAACACTTTGATGTAGAATTGAATATTCTAACTGTATACCAACTCTACCGAATTGGGAGCTGACTTCATTACAGTCATAAAAATGTACTGTAGCAAGCAGATTTTTCTTAGAGGGATGGACTTGATTGAAAAGTCCCTCAGTTCGTGATTCTACTTAATCTGAATATGATTCATTATAGGCTAGAGTTTATACAGTGATGTAGCAGGTAGTAGAATTTACAGAAAGAATTTTGGAACATTGTTAAGGTGCTTTGGGTAGGGAGTGACTTTTAACATAGCAGTGTTTAATATTGTGCTTTCTTTTATTTTTATTTTAGGTAGTACAATATTCTGCCAGCAGTCAGACTGAAACAGTCTTTATAAAAACCCCAAATAGCTATTAATAGGCTACCATTATAAGGCTACTGGGTTTTTTCTTGTTTTATTCTTAAGTAAGGCTAATTACAGCTTAATGTTTTCAAGGTACTGTGTTCTGGAGCGACAGGCAAATTAGTTAGCATTCTTATTAGAAGACATGGCAATCATGAATAACAGTGTATCACTGTAATTGTTACTTTGTTAACAGTGAGCTGGTAACTGTGCCAGCTAGCTTAGTCTGATCTTGGTGCAATGACAGTGTGTGAATGTGATTAGGCTTTACAAGAAGGTTTTTAATATGCATTGCTGCATTTTTCATATTGCATCTGAAAAGTATGCAGATCACTTTTAGCAAGGTGATTTAAAATCCCATGTGAATGTGCAGCTTCTTGATGAATAGGGTATAAAATCTTCACTAAGTGAATCTCTAAGAAGAGACTGAAGTTCTAATCATGATTTAATTTATGTGACAAAATCTATTAAACAGATCTAAGATGTTGCATGTTCTGGGTGTTTGGTTTGTTTTGTTTTGTTTTTAGAACAGTACACTCACCCAAGTCAAAATAAAAACTGCTGATACTTCCACCTATTACTTATGAGGCATCAGCATACTAGCAGCAAATAAATAAAACAGTGTATTTCAGAGCACTGATCTGCAAAAGCTCCATTATTTGATATGTTTTTCTGAGAATGCAACTCTGTGGACTTCCTAGTTCACAAGTTTTGAATATTTACCCTGCCGTGTCATGAGTTTACATGCAGTTAAGGTGTTTTCCAGCACAGAAAGAGAGAACTTGTTGGCTTGCACCTATGTGCATGGCACTACCAGAAATCCAGGGTGGGTATTTCTGGCTGTTTGAAAGCACTGTTATTTTCACAGAATGCCTGAGGCTGGAAGGGACCTCTCAAGTTTATCTGGCTTGACCCACTAGCTCAAGCAGGGTCTCCTAGAGCTAGTTTCCCAGAACCATGTCCAGGAAGCTTTTGAACTTCTCCAAGAGTGGAGACCCCATGATCTCTGGGCAACCTGTACTCAGTATTCAGTCATCCCTGCTGTGAAAAAGTATTTCTCAATGTCCAGGGGGAACCTCTTGTGTTTCTGTTAGTGGTCATTGCCTCTTGTCCTGTCACTAAGCACTGCTAAAATGAGTCTGGATTTTTCTTTGCACCTTCCTTACAGATATTTCTGCAGATACAGGAGATCAATCCCCAAGTGTCCCCTGCCCTACCAACCCCCAGATGCTTTCTCTAGGCTGAACAGTCCCAGCCTTCTCATACTTTCCTTATAAGAGAGATGCTCCAGTCCATCATCTTTGTGGATCTTCATTGGACTCTCTCCAGCACATCCATATATCTTGTGTATTGGGGAGCCCAGAACTGTACACAGTATTCCAGGTATGGCCTTCACAGTGTAGAGTAGAGGAGAAAGACTGCCTCCTTCTACTTGCTGGTAGTATGTCTAATGCAGCCCAGGATACCATTAGCCCTCTTTGCATCAAGGGCACATTGCTAGCTTACATGCAAGCCAATGTCCACCAGGACATGCAGGTCCTTTCCTGTCAAGCTGCTTTCCAGCTCAGTGGCCCACAGCATGTACTGATGCATGGGTTTATTTGTCTCCAGGTGCAAGACTTTGCAACTTCCCTTGTTGTACTTGTTGACGTTCCTGACAGACCATTTCTCCAGCCTGTTGAGGTCCCTCTACATGGCAGCATGATGCTCTGCTCTATCAGCTACTTCTCCCAGTTTGGTGTCATTTGCAAACTTCCTGAGGGTGCGCTCTGCCTCATCATCCCCTTATGGTCATAAATGAAGATGTTGAACAGGATTCAATCCATTATTGACCCCTGGGGTACATACAGGTTACTGGCCTCCAACTGTGCTGCTGATCACCACCCTCTGGGCTTGGCAGTTCAGCAAGTTTCAATCCACTTGACTGCTCATCCAGCCCATAGTTCAACAGCTTCTGTAGTTTATATGAAAGTAGTTTGAGGTTATGCCAGGAAATAGCAGCCTAATTTTCCAAAGAAGATAGTTAATTCTTTTATAACTGGAGAAAAGTGTCAATGGGTTCTTCCCACAGAATAAGCAGGTGTCTTTGATTTACTAGACACATACAGGAGATCGGTATGCCTAATCCATAATTTTCTGATCAAAGAGCTATTCTGGAGAACTTAATTTTATCTAAAAACCCCAAACAAAACTCAAAATAACCCTTGGACATGGGTTTTTACTTAATGCCATGCAATCTCTCATACATATCATATGATCAGTGTTCAGAAGTTCAGAATTCAGTGATGTTTTTCGCTTGAACTGATCCCCACTGAAGTAGAGAGTGCCCTCTGGTGTACCCTTAGAAGTGTCTCTTAACAGGGACGTATGTGCTAAGCGACTGTGTGGTTAACAGATTGGTTCTACATACTTTTCTTTGGCAACTTCTGTAAGAGTTACAATCTGGTTATTTTTCCCCCCTTGTTTTCAAGTTTTGTCCTGAACATACTTAGAGTGAAAACAGGTGATAGACTTCTTCCCATCTGTAAGAAGATGGTTTTTTGTTTTTTTGTTTTCTGGTTTTTGTTGTTGCTTTAATAATGCAGCTTTTGAAGAGCAATATGTAGCAACTGGCTAAGGGGTAAAAAATTTCTACATCTCCCTGCTCTGCCATCCTTTCCTTCAGTTTCAAGCAAGAAATGCATAGTGCAGATATTAATGAATACTGTTGGAAGACTAATAAATACCATTGTGAAGGCAAGTGGAAAAGGATTACTTCCTTTGAGCGTTAAGACACTATCCCTGTTTAATCACGAGGCCTTCAAAACAGAATGAAACACGTCTGATTTAATTATGTGTGAGCCTGGCTGGTGACTTCAAGAAACTTCATTCTTTTTCAAATGAATAAGAGTATTGCTGTAAAAATAAGCAATACTGCACAAATTCTATGCATCTTAAAGTTGATACAAATTCTGTATATGCACATTCAACTTGTGTGTATGTGAAGATGTGTGTGGTGTTTATTCAATGGAAGATGAGACCTGGGATATGGTCCTTTAAGGAGCTTTTTCTTGTGAATGCTTAAAGGTACAAGTAACAGTAGTTCATAGGTCTTTTCCATATCAAGTACCAGATGTTGAATCATCAGACAGAAATCTAAATGTTCAAACAAAATTAAGTTACCTGTTAACTAAGCTCTTTCAAGAAGTGATTGTTTTGAGAGCATTGTGCTTGTTTACGTTATACAGTTTGTAGTTCTGTTAAAAGTAAACTTGCTGAGGCTTATCAAACTGTACACAGAGTACACTGACCAAAGTGCATATCCTGTATGCTTCTAAAGTCTTTACTATGGGGGGGTGGGGGGTTGTTTGTTTGAGGGGGGGGTGTTGGTGTTTGGGGTTTTTTTTTTTTTGTGGGTGGGTTTGGGGGGGGGTGGTGGTGGT